CGTACATGTGTGTGAACATATGTGTACATGTGTGTGTATGGTGTGTGTGTGTGTGTGTGTGTGTGTGTGTGTGTGTGTGTGTGTGTGTGTGTAGAGGCCACAGGAGAATGTCAGGCGTCCTGCTCCATCACTGTCTACCCTTCCCCTTGAGATGGGGTCCCTTACTGAACCTGGAGCTCCCCAGGTGGCCAGCAAGCCCCAGGGAACCTCCTGTCACCAAGTTCCCACAGAACTTGGGTTATAGGCATATGCCCATTATTTACACGGACGTCGGGTTTAGAACTCAGGGCCTCAAGTTTGTGTGGCAAGCTCTCTTACCCACTGAGCCCTCTCTCCAGCCCCTGGATTAACTTTTTGGTGAGCTATCTGCTAAGTTCCTTGTCCATTTTTCTGTTGATAGTTACACATGTTGTGGGTTCTCTCCACTTTGTGGCTTGTTCTCCCTCTTTGCTTAAAGTGTTTTCTGGTGAGCAAAAGTTTTAAATTTTATAAACTCTTCCTTCATGTTTTCAGTTTTGTTAAAAAAAAAAAAAGAATTTCCATGTGTATTAGTCAGTATTCTCTAGAGAGTGGGAGTGGGAAGGGATGGGGAGAGAGTGAGAGGAAGGGAGGGAAGGAGTGATGAAGGGAAGGAGAAAATAAGAGACAGAGAGAGAGATGCTAATTTACTAGAGTGTAGTTGGACTTTCTTTGGACCACCAGCTCCCAAATAATGACAGAGACGTCTTATTAAGTAGGAAAGCTCAGCCTTAGCTCAGGCTTGTTTCCAACTAGCTCTTAAAACTTAAATTAACCCATTTATATTAATCTACATTCTGTCACATGGCTTGTTATCTCTCCTCATTACCATATGTCCGACTTGCTCCATGCCTCAGATTCCTCCCAGAGTTCCTCTCTTTCTCCCCGGAAATTGAAAGTCCTCCCTATCCTCTCCTGCCTAGCCATTGGCCATTCAGCTCTTTGTTAAACCAATCAGAAGGTGCCTTAGCAGAGACACATCTTCACAGTGTACAAAAAGATTATCTTACAAACTAGAGGAATTGGCCCGTGCAATTATGGAGGCTGAGAAGCCCGTCAAGAGGGCAGTTCCAGTGAGCCTCAGACCCAGGAAAGCTAGCGTGCATAGCTGTCGGTGTGAGGCAGAAGGCTTCAGAACCCAGGGGCCCTTGTTGCAAGAGTTCTTCTGACAGGAGGGCACCCCAGCTCCAGGAGAAAGGTCCTTTTCCTTCTGTCCAGGTGCCAGACACTAGACTCCACTCACTAGGAATAGTTCTTCTCCCTCAATCTTCCAACTCAGGTGCTCATCTCACGGGGAAACACCCTCCCAGCCACACCCAGGAATGATCCTTCGCCATTCACCCGCGTCCTTAATCCCATCCAGCTGATTCTGTCTGATTCGCCCCCTCACCAGCCTGCTACAGTTCAGCAATTTTGCCTTTTGGATTACGTTTTTAATTCACCTGGAATTTGGTTTCGTGTTTTGTATGAGAGTCAGAACCAGATTTCTTGGTTGTCTTACACACCCACGGCTCACATGGCTTACTGAGAAGCCAACTGCGTGCTCCACCCTGTAGTACACACCCAGCTTGTATGTGTGTCGGGTTAGAGCTTTAGTCATGACCATTGAGTTGTGTCAGGTTTTTCTTGCCCCATGTATTCTTATAATCATGTTACATTCCCCCTCCATTTGCTTGTTAATGAATTATATTAATTTACTTCCAGATGTGAAATTGGTCTTTCATTCCTTGGATAAGCTCAATTTGGTTGTGATGTATCACACATTGAGTATTTTGCTGGATGTGATCTGCTAATAGTTTAGAATGGAAGTTATTAATGATATTCCTATAATATCTTTTTCGTTTCTCTTCACTGGAACAGCGATGAATTCTGTTCAGTGCTCTATTTTATATATTGGACTGCTTCTTAATGTATAGCTATGTGTATCTGGGGGCAATTTGTTCACAGGAGTGCAGTGTAGACACTGACCCCTGGAGCTGGAGCTCTATGAGGTTATGAACCACCTGTGTGGGTCCCCTGCAAGATCAGCATGGGCTCTTAAGAGCCACCTCTGCGGCTTATTTACTTGTTTATTTCTGAGGCAAAGTCTTATGCTGTAGCTAAGTAAGGCTGGCATAGAACTTACATTGTATCCCAAGCTGGCTTCAAACTCACCTCAGCCCCTCTGTCTCTGTGCTGGGATCACAGGCATGAGTGACCACACTTGTTCTCTTCCAGTCTGGGTGTTGACATGTGAGTCTCCTCTCTTTCATTCATTTGTTCAAAGACACAGCTTCTGGTTTACTTCTTTGCCATGTTTTCTCTTTTATTGAACTGTGCTCTTCTGCATATGCTTCCTTCTTTCCTCTCTGTTTTAGTACAACGTTTTCAAGTTTTAAAGATGTGACCGTGATATCACTGATAGGAGACGTTCCTTCTGTTTAAATAGAAGCAGTGTCCCGATTTCAAAGGACTGCTCTCTGCACACTGTACTTCAGTGTGTTATATTTTTATTAAATTGATTGTTTTCCCATTCTCTTGTGATCTCTTCTTTGACCTGTTATTTAGAAGTATACTGTTCACTTTTGGAATATTTGGGCAGAGGAATCCCAGATGTCCTTTTCCTGGTGTGCCCAGAGAGCACCCTTTACATGTTTCAGTCATTCCAAACTCAAGAGACTTGTCCTGTAGTCTGTGTTTGGAGCAGCAAGCCCATGGGTACTTTGTAAAGTGTGCCTGGTGGTACTGAGTGTCCAAGTATTTTTAGTGATAATTCTCAGCTGTAATGCTGTCCCCAGGACATTGGTACTGCTCCTTCAGCTTTCTTCAGCATTATGTGTATCTGGTATGTAATTTTTCATATTTTGACTCATCTGTGTTTCATCTTTTATTGTGTGTTATACACTTTCCCTGATGGATTCTTTAATGTGTCAGCCATAGTTATTTCAGAATCATTGTCAAATAATTTCAGTACCTGGATCTGGGCATGGTAGCCTATGCCTGTAATCCTAGCATTCGGGAGGAGGATCAGGAGTTCAAGGCCAGCCTGAACTACAAAAGATCCTGCCTCAAATCGCAAATGATAATGATAATAATAACAATTATCATTTCAACACTGAAGCATCTCTGGGTCTGGTTTTGGTGATCTTAACTCCTACAATGTGCTGCTGTTTCCTTGGTGGCTTTTTACTCCTCTCTTGTAAGGTTTTATTACATGCTTGACATTGTGTATAAAGGGCCACTGGAAACTGAGGTAAATGTTATTTGTGCCTAGAAATGAGCAGTTCTTTGCTTGCTCGTGTGAGGTTAGGGCAGTCCTTGTACTGTGGTTCCTTCAGTATTCTTGCTTCGCTCGTCTTTCCCCGTGGGCTCCTGCAGCCCTGTCCTTGGTGTGGCTGAGTGTGGATGGCATGAAGTGATTATCTGTCTGTGTTCTTGCTCTTCCTCCTGTGGCAACATGCTGATGTGCTTCCCTCCTCTGATGCAGCCTAGGATTCCCTTTCCTCATCTCCACAGTCCCTAACCCTGGTCCTGAGAGGGGGAGCGTTCTCAGCGTTTCTCTGTCCCCTCCCTCTGTTGGCGATCAAACCTCCAGGTTGGTCCTGAGCAGAAGAGGCTCCAGCAGCTGTCAGCCTTTGCTGATTCTTCCTCCTGTGTCAGCAGAGCGCTGCCCCCGGGGGGAGCAGCAGATGGAGCGTCTCCTTCTGTCTCTTCCGCCTTGTAGCACGAATCTTAGAAGGTCTTATTAATAAAACAAACCTGGGGCCAGGTATTGGAGTGAACAGTGGAGGATCAGAGAAGCAGAGCAAGCCACAGCCACCTCACCTTGCCAATTCCTCAGCTGATCCCATTTCCTCAGACTGGAAGCCTCTGAGTCCTCCTCATCCAGAATGAATCTCAGCCAAACTGCTGCTCAAAAGCCTAAAAGCTTAACCAGGCTCTAGTTCCTGGTCCTCATGCCTTATATACCTTTCTGCCATCACTTCCTGGGATTGAAGGCATAAGTCACCATGTCTGGCTGTTTCCAATGTGGCTTTAAACTCACAGAGATCCAGATGGATTTCTGCCTCTGGAATGCTAGGATTAAAGATGTGTGTGCCATCATTGCCTAACCTCTATGTTTAATATTGTGGCTGTTCTGTTCTCTGACCCCAGATAAGTTTATTAAGGTGCACAATGTATTGGGGGACACAGTATATCACCACACCGCCTCACAGGGAGGAGGAGAGGATTTGTGTGGCACCAGGTCTGGAAGTGGTTAAGATTGTCCCATGAGCTTGGCTCTTCAGTCTTGGATTCTCCCCGCCCCCCTTGGTCTGTCTCAGAAGCACCCTTTGAAAACTCTGGAAGGTCACCAGCTAGCCAATATGGAGTCTAGGACAGCAGCTTCTTTAATGGCTGTGCTGGCCCATGTGCAGGGTGTAAGGATTTGGAGTTTGTATCTCTTCCCATTTGCTTTTGTGGCTGGTGTCTCTTCCTCGCTGACTGCAAGTGGAGAGAGAATTCGAGGGTCCCGTCTCACCTTGGAATTCACTCCATACCTCGGCATTAACTCTACTGCCTCTGAGTCATAAGGAGGCTGCTTCTAGGTTGAAAATGGGACTTCCCCGAGTAATTTTATTCAGCTCCTAATTCACTTTCTTTAGTGAGTTGAGAAAGTATCAAGCCTGTCAATTTGAATAAATCTAGCTTGTTTTTTCTCTCATTAAGGTGACAAACATGAATATCTTGTTACCTAGTTTTGTGAAGTGATTGCAAGGATGATTTTTTAAATTACCCCTTCTGGTCTACTTTCACATCAGACAGCTAATCAGATTTGAAAATAATGAAGGTGTTCTTGATAATGATGAGTTTTGGGTTATCCATCTGAACATTAAAGAAACCAACATTTTAGGAAAAGTTTTGTTCCGTTAGCCGAGAGTGTGGCAGGAAGAGGCTTGCTGTGGTGGACTGATGAATTGTTTGAGTGAAAGGTAACCTGACTGTTTCTCCCAATGTCTCAGGTATCGGTGGCAATTTGGTGGCCATTCAGGCTAGCAGAATTTCTACCTACCTCCATTTGCATAGCATCCCTGGGGAACTGCCCGAAGAACCCAAAGGTTGTTCCTACCCGTTCAGGACATTCTTTGGTTCAGGTAAGTGTTTGTGGGATTGTGTGAATTTTGTCAGGAACTGCTGCAGGCTGAGATGGCAGGCAAAATTGGTTGAATCGATATTTTGTGAGTGTTGTGGTGAGCTAATCTCAGAGGACAGAGGCCTTCTGTGTCCCTAAGTCCGTGTGTACAGGTGTGACATTTGCACTTTTTATTCCCATCTCAGTTGGTTAAGAAAGAGGAACCATACTCTTACATTTTTGGTTATGAGCCTAGCTTTTAACAGCTGAGCCATCTCTCCAGCACTTGGGAGGCAGAGGCAGGCGGATCTCTGAGTTCAAGGCCAGCCTAGTCTACTGAGCAAGTTCCAGGACAGCCAGGGCTGCACAGAGAAACCCTGTCTCAAAAAAAAAAAAAAAAGAAGGAAAGAAAGGAAGAACTGTATGCACAAACACAAAGCACCCGTGACTTAGGGACAGACAAATGGACTTTTCTTCCTGTACTACTGCTTTTTGACTCTTTAAAATGTGGATATTTGCTCTGAAACAGGACATTAGGAGACAGACAGCTCAGTGATGGGAACAATCCATTACTTATATGAGCAGATATGTGACTGCCAAAAAAACTGAGATCATTTTTTCGCTACTTTATATGTATGGGTGTGGCCTGTAAGTGTGTCTGGGCATCACTTGCATACCTGGTGCTCCTGAGGCTGCAAGAGGGCATCAGGTCCAATGGAACTGGAGTTTCAGAAGGTTGTGAGCCATGCCATGGGTCCTGGGAACCCTGGTCCTCTGGAAGAGCAGTCAGAGCTCTTAACCACTCAGCATCTCAAGCCCCTCCTTGTGATATCAGTGATGGAACAATAAAAGAAGACATAAAATTGACATTCCACTTTGCTTCTGTTTTTATGACACTAATGTTCTTCAAAACAAGGTTTGTTTTGTTTCCCGGGACAGGGTTTCTCTGTGTAGCTCTGGCTGTCCTGGATCTCACTCTGTGGACCAGGCTGGCCTTGAACTCAGAGATCCACCTGCCTCTGCCTCCTGAGTGCTGGGATCAAAGGCATGTGCCACCACTACCTGGCTCAAAGTAAGTTTTTAAACAGCCATTTTTTATTTGATTTTATAATTATACCTAGTAAGGGAATTCCTAAGAATTAAGTGAATTGTAAATAATTGAGATTTATTCTTAACAGTTGAATTGATGTGATGCTATAGAAATGAGAAAGTAACCTTCAATTTGTTGTTTTGTTTTTCTGAGATAGGGTCTCACTGTTTGGCTTGGGGTGGCCTTGAACTCAAAATGCTGCTGCCTCAGCTTCCATAATGCTGGGGTCACAGACATCCAGGGTTGTCCTCTGTCCATAGTGCTGGGGTCACAGACATCCAGGGTTGTCCTCTGTCCATAGTGCTGGGGTCACAGACATCCAGGGTTGTCCTCTGTCCATAGTGCTGGGGTCACAGACATCCAGGGTTGTCCTCTGTCCTGCCTCAGCTTCCGTAGTGCTGGGGTTGCAGATGCCCAAGATTGTCCTCTGGCATGGTGACTTGGATTACCATGTCCAGTTGATAGGTTCTCTTTATTTTTCCACCAGTACTGAGGGGTTGAACTTGTGAGTGCTAGACAAGCAACCCTCCACTGAGCTGCATCCCCAGCTCTAACCTTCCGATTCTATTGTCAATGCCATTTGCCTTTCATGTTACAGGAGTGAACAATAAGTCTGCCCAAGTTCTTCTGCTCCTAGTGGTTCCGGGCCACTTGATTTTCCTCTACACAATTCACCTGATGAAGAGTGGCCACACCTCTCTGACTGTAGTCTTTGTTGTTGTGTACCTACTTGCTGCTGTGCTACAGGTAAGAGGACAAACTTCTTCAAATCTCTCACTCTCAGATTGCTGGGAATCTGTCCTGATGGACTTCTGCAGTACACAACATAGTTACCATTTCAGAACTACAGTACACAACATAGTTACCATTTCAGAACTACAGTACACAACATAGTTACCATTTCAGAACTACAGTACACAGCATAGTTACCATTTCAGAACTACAGTACACAACATAGTTACCACTTCAGAACTACAGTACACATCATAGTTACCATTTCAGAACTACAGTACACATCATAGTTACCATTTCAGAACTACAGTACACAACATAGTTACCATTTCAGAACTACAGTACACATCATAGTTACCACTTCAGAACTACAGTACACAACATAGTTACCATTTCAGAACTACAGTACACAACATAGTTACCATTTCAGAACTACAGTACACATCATAGTTACCATTTCAGAACTACAGTACACAGCATAGTTACCATTTCAGAACTACAGTACACAGCATAGTTACCACTTCAGAACTACAGTACACAACATAGTTACCATTTCAGAACTACAGTACACATCATAGTTACCACTTCAGAACTACAGTGTACACATCATAGTTACCACTTCAGAACTATAGTTCACATCATAGTTACCACTTCAGAACTACAGTACACAACATAGTTACCACTTCAGAACTACAGTACACAACATAGTTACCACTTCAGAACTACAGTACACAACATAGTTACCACTTAGAACTACAGTACACAGCATAGTTACCACCTCAGAACTACTACAGTGCACAACATAGTTACCAGTTCAGAAGTCGACTGAGGCCTTTGCATTGACTTGGTCTATGAACACTGAGATCCGCCTGGTGCACAGAACCTTTGAATTGCCTGGTTTCACAGCATCCTTTGCTGGTAATCCTGCTCTCTTTGACATATCTTCCAATCGGCTCTTGAAGCAGGGAAAGGAAGTGCATTTGGGGGCTGTTCCTAGTGTCTTACCCTACTTTTTATATTAATAGGTTAATTGATACTTTTCCTTTTTTATTTTATTTTATTTTTCTATCATCAGCTCGATACAGTACAAATTCTTATCCTAATAGTGAAATGTTTCACTGAAGCTTGCCCAGTGATTGAGTAAAACCAAAACTTATTATAAGCAGTTATCTTAGGGTCCCCCCTGCTATGTAGCCTCCCTGGTTCTGTGGGTTGCAGTCTGATTGTTCTTTGCTTTATATCTAGTATCCACTTATGAGTGAGTACACACCATGTTTGTCCTTCTGGATCTGGGTTACCTCACTCAGGATGATATTTTCTAGTTCCATTCATTTGCCTGCAAATTTCATGCTGTCCTTGTTTTTCTCTGCTGAGTAGTACTCCATTGTGTATATGTACCACATTTTCTTAATCCATTCTTCTTTTGAGGGGCATCTAGGTTGTTTCCAGGTTCTGGCTATTACAAATAGTGCTACTATGAACATAGTTGAGCATGTTTCTTTGTGGTATGATTGAGCATTCCTTGGGTATATGCCCAAGAGTGGTATGGCTGGGTCTTGAGGTAGGTCGATTCCCAATTTTCTGAGAAACTGCCATACTGATTTCCACAGTGGTTGTACAAGTTTACATTCCCACCAACAGTGGAGGAGTGTTCCCTTTGCTCCGAATCCTCTCCAGCATAGACTGTCATTAGTGTTTTTGATCTTAGCCATTCTGACAGGTGTAAGGTGGTATCTCAGAGTCATTTTGATTTGCATTTCTCTGATGAATAAGGATTTTTGTAATTTTGAAGGCATGCTTTTTTTTTTTCCTGTTTGGCTGCTTATATTGCCAGTGAGAATAGGTACCATCGACTCTGAATCTTTTGTATGAACTTGGTTTTTATCTGTTTGTGTTCACATGTGTTTATGTGAATGAGTGCAGGTGCATGTGTGTTACCTGCATGTGTGTGGCAGTCAGAGGACAACTGTGGGTGTTGGTGTTTACCTTCCACATGTATGTTACTGTGCGTGGCAGTCAGAGGACAACTGTGAGTGTCAGTGTTTGCCTTCCACCTCGCTTGAGACAGTGTCTTGTGAGTCACTGCTAGCTGTCTGTGGAGCTTCCGGGCTCTCCAGTCTCCGCCTCCTGTTCGCTGTGGGAGTGCTGGCTTCCAGATGTGCATCTTTGCACCTGCAGACCCGGGTCCTCACTCTTGCAGACAAACTCTTCACCCTCTGAGCTGTCTCCTCCTCACTAGGTGACCTTTGCTTCACGGGCTGCTTTTCACTCCCTGTCTTTTTTCTTGTCGCATGCTGGTAGTCTTGAAATTATGTGCTGATATACTCTGCTGTGGGTATATTTTGTCTCTCCTTTGACGCCATCAGTTCAAAAGTTCATGTTTTTCAATTCTGGGAAACCTTCTTTAAATATTACTTTTTGATGAATTTTCTTTTCTTTCCTTGGTATGTAACCCAGGCCGGCCTCAAACAGTGATCCGCCGGCCTTCGCCTGTGAGTACTGGGTTACAGTAGTGTTCACCATGCCTAGCACTTCATGGAATCTTTATGGTCACTAGACTTACATCAAACTTTCTTTTAAAAGTTCTGTTTTGTTATCTGTTTTCTTTTTAGGTTTCTTCTCCTTCTGTGTAGGAAGTAAAAGGCTTTTAATTTTAGAAATTTCCTTTTATGTAAACAAACCCTCACCTATGTTCTTGTACACGACTCTAATGAAATGCATTAGTTCTCACACAAACACTGGCACACAGACACCCATGCACACTCACTCACACACTCACAGATAAAATGAAAGTGGAAGGGGTCCTGGCTTGGAAAAGGAAGGGGATTGGAAGTAGAGGAGGGCAACAGAGGGTGATGTATGGGATGTCTGTGTGAATATCAAAATATATTATGTCTGTGTGTAAAAATATCATAATGTAACCCATTATAATGTATAATTAATATACGCCAATGACCAACATTTAAAGGTATGCTCCTATGATAAATGTACTCATTTTAAAAATTCCATAGTACCCGCCGGGCGGTGGTGGCGCATGTCTTTAATCCCAGCACTTGGGAGGCAGAGCCAGGTGGATCTCTGTGAGTTCGAGGCCAGCCTGGTCTCCAAAGCGAGTTCCAGGAAAGGCGCAAAGCTACACAGAGAAACCCTGTCTCGAAAAACCAAAAAAAAAAAAAAAAAAAAAAATTCCATAGTACCCAAAGGCTCTACTTCCCTAGATCTGTTTCTTAGACACCATCACTTGGAAATATTTTAGCTATTTTTTTCTGCCATTATTTGTAAATTTTAAAGTTACATGCCTAAACTTCAAGTTTATGACTTTGGCTGAAAAATAAAAAGTGAGGGCTTTAGGGCCATTATAATGTCCCATATTTCCCACATAACTTATACTACAACTTTTAAAAATATGAATTATCAGTATGCAACTAAGCCTATTTTAATATGTTTATTGTAAGGCAGTGGTTTGCTCGGGCTGTATTTCTTTGTTTGTGTCTTATTTTCCTTTCCTTTTTTCACTTGGGTCTCTCTCCGTTCACCCAGTCTCAGTGTTCACAGCTGCCCTACTGTCTCACCTCAGGCTTCTGGTGAACCTCATAGACTTAGTGCCTCCTCCAGAGAGAACCCCAACTCCTTCAGAGGAGATTCAGATAATGCCTGGGGTGGAGTTCGAATTTGGCCTTCAGGGAACTTGACTGGAGGACTGAGGCTGGGGAAGGTGGATAGGGAGTGTTCCAGGCAGAAGAAGCTGGATTGATACTGCCGATACCGCGCCGATGAAACAAGCTGGCCTTTGGAGTGTCTGCTCTCACATGCCAGTGCACTGAGTGCGCAGTGTTATGGAGATTGGTTCTTTGCCATGAAGCAGTGATTTCCAAAGTGCAGCTCAATCCAGTATGTATAGAAATAAAAATGAAAACTTCTGTCAACCGGATGTGCTTAAAGTGTATTTTATTATCTTTATGATTGCTTAATAACAAACATGTTAGCACCGTATTTAATAAGTATGCTCAGATATTTTCTAAAAGAGAGCAGCATAGTGTGGGATTCTAGATTGCTGAATTAATACCCAGAATGAGAAAGGACAGAACTGTGCCAGAAAAAGGAAGTTGTAAACAGAATCCAAGGTGGGGAGGTGGTGTGAGATGAGGTCTTAACGGCAGAGTAAGCCTGGTGTGGGAAGGCCCTAAATGCCCCGGAAGGGAGGCTGGGATAGGTTCTCTCTCAAACAACCAGATTCCGACAAATTCTCTGTAATTCTTTCTAGTCTTCCAATTTTATTTAAGCCACTATTTTTTTATTTTTTATTCATTCAGTAAATCTTCATTTGAATCGATGAAGGCGTGACTCTTAAGTCCCGAGAGCAATGAATCCAAGCACTGCTGAGGGACTTGTGGTCTGACGCTCTGGGAACACACAGTGTGCTATGGTATAAATGCTGCCTGTGTGAGGTTATCACCCACACAACCACGTTCCCAATGCCTTTGCTGCTGTGAACTTGGGTTGCTCAAGAGCTGGTCATTTATTGTCATGTTTCCCCGTTCTCCTCAGTCCTGGGGGAAGCACCCAGGTCTGGTCTGACACGCCGTTTCTAGAGCAGGTTCCTGTGGATGGCTCTCTCCTGAGCTCAGGGATGTGCCCATGTGTCTGCATCTGTGTGCTGTGCTGTCTTACATTCTTCTCTGTAAGATGAAGAAAATAGAAGTCATTTTCCTGAGATTATTTGCAAAACATTTAACAAAAGATTTAATTTTAATCGTGTGTGTGTGTGTGTGTGTGTGTGTGTGTGTGTGTGTGTGTGTGTGTGTGTGTTGTGAGTAACTACAGAGGCCTGAGGCAGTGGATCCCTGGAGCCCAGTTACAGGCGGTCGTGAGCTGCCTGATGTAGGTGCTGATTTGGAAGAGAAATGCCCTCTCTTAACCTCCAGCCCCTGATGTAACTCTTAGACTATACTTACATGCCCCTCCCCTTTCTGAGACAGGCTCTCTCTGTTAAGTAGTCCTGCCTATCCTGGAAC